TGCAGTGTACTGGGGGCTGAGGGAGATACATGGTTTAGTAAGGAACCATTCTCATACTTCATGGAGTTTACAGCCTAGTGGAGGGAGAAAACATAGAAATAACTTGAGTAGAAATCTTAGAATCCCAGAACTCAGAGTTGGAAAGAACATCACATGGCATCTAACCCAACCATAGCCAAGCACGAATCTTCTCTACATGCTTGACAAGTGGTCATCTAGAAGATTCCTAATAGAATATATGATATAATGATATCACAATATAATTAGCAGCTAGGTAATAGTCGAGACAAAAGATTACCCAAGATTCTGTTACTATCTGAGAGAATCAAGATACTTCCTGAAGGCGTTTGGGCTGGAATTTAAAAGCTAGGTAGGAATTCAAAGTATAGAAAGTACAGGGCAGAAACTCCTAGTGTGAGGCAATAGAAAGAGCCTTGGTTCTGGAATGTGAGGACCTGAGTTCAAATCCTAATGCTGATCCTGGCCAGGTCTCTTAAACTTCCTGAGCCTCAGTTTTGTCTTCTGTGTAATGAGGGATTGGACTCCATGGCCTCTGAAGCCCCTTCCAGCTTTATATCTATGACTCTATGCAGCAAAAGTACAGGAGTCAGGGGGGAATAGTACGAGCTAAGGTAGGAAAACCAAAATGGTGTCAGATTGCAGAGGGCCTTGATCCCTTAGAGAGTGCAAAGAAATGCAAACTTAATTTTATCGGCATAGGCTTTGAAAGGTTTTTGACCTTTACAGAGACACACCCAGATCTACATATAAATAACATGAGTATGGTAATGGTGTGAAGGATGAATTGGAAGGAGAGAGAACAGAGGCAGAGAAACCTACCTTTTAGGAGGCTGTCATAGTAACAGTGTGGTGGAAATAAGAGTAAAAAGCACTACCTATCACTTTTTGCTTAATAACAAGTCTCTTTAGCCACATTTGCATCCCAACACATAGAATGGGATTATGATGGTTTTCCCACAATTGCATGAATGCCAAGTCATTGTGATAAGAGGACAGGAAACAATACATATGTGCAGTTCTCTTTAGGATCTTGCTGGACCAACATTTAATTTTTAACTTTAAGTATTCTGAGATTTTATTCTTACCTTATTCCTGGTCCTTTGAGTGATGAGCTACTTTTAAACTTGCAATAGGACAAAGATGTTCAGGGTGTGGCCGGAAAAAATGGCCACATAATGTCCATTATTCGGTATCTTGGTCCTCAAAACACAATTGAGCCACCAACATCAACTAAAGCTCTAGTAGGAAATTGAAAACTTAACCCACTCTTTCATTTGATGGAAGAAAATGCCCATTCAATCCTGGTTACCATGGATACTGGCCAAACATTCCAGGGTTCAGCCATCTGCTTAAAAAGCATCACATCATCGTGATTCTATCATCGAAAATGTTCTGCTGCTGCTCATCAAAATAATTTTAAAGGCCCAGCCAGATTAAATATATATATGTACATACATACATACATATATATGTTTTTTTTTCTTGGATTGCTGCTGTAAATCTGAAAGTCTACAAAGAATGCTGCAAAACATCCTATTTACAATCTACTTTGACTGAATCGTTCACATTTAAATGGTTTGTTGGGCATGTTCTCATTGGCAAATCACCAAGATTCCCTTCTGTAGAAGCACAGTTTAAGGCAAACAAAAGAAAAATACAGACTGGGCCTGCACTGAGAATACGTCTCTTCTTCCTTCCTCCTTCCTATATTTCTTTTGCCCATGGTACATTTTCTCTAAAATGGCAGTAAGTGAAGAGAATGTCTGTGAGGCAGGAAAAGAGAAGTGAAAGAGCTCAACTCTTTCTTCACCAAAAATCCACTCTGAGCTGGTTCTGAGGAGCAAGAAGAAGGAAGAAAAGGGAACAAGCCAACACACTTTAAAGCCTTTGGGAAAGGAAAGGATTTTTTTCTTCCTTTTTTTTTCCCCCCTGCTGAATTGGGACAGAAAAAGATTTTGTAGTACAGCTCTGCTGGTGACCAGGTTCTCCTGGTACAATAGCAGAAAGCACTTAGACCAGGGCTCTTTTCAAACAGAACTTGAGGCTTTGTCTGCCAAATCAATAATGATTAGATTTGGTTGTATGTTCTGTTGCCTGGGAACCAGAGAAGACACTAGGATGACAGTGTCCTGTGGAGTGGGAGCTAGATCTGCATTTTATTCTCTTCTTCACTTCTTTTATCAATAGTAAGAATGAGAGCTGCATGGTATTAATAGTTAGTGAGTTGGCCTTAGGATCAGGAAGACCTGGGTTCAATTCCTGTCCGTATGACCGGACCAGTCTTACACTCTCATTGCCTCAAGCAACTTTCTAAGGTTAGAGTGACCCTTGTGTTGCTGTTTTACTTTGTCATTTATTTTGTTGTTGTTTGGCCATTTTCATTAGTATCCAACTTTTCCTGACCTCATTTGGGGTTTTCTTGGCAAAGATACTGGAGTGGTTTCCCATTTCTTCCTCCAGTTCACTTTACAGATGAGGAAACTGTGGCAAACAGGGTTAAGTGACTTACCTAGGATCACACAGCTAATAAGTGTCTACGGCCAGATTTGAATTCAGAAGAAGAATCTTCCTAACTCCAGGCCTAGTACTCAATCTACTTCACCACTAGCTGCTCCTTATAGATGCTAATACTAAATAAAGACAAAACAAGAGGTACTTAGAGAAGGAACTGAGTGGGAAAAGGGTGGGAGGAAGCAAGGGTAGAAAGGGAAGTGGGTTGGAGCAGCTTGGTTAGAGGGGAATTCCACATCTGGTAGTTCCATTCAGTGATGAAGCTGCAGGTCTTACCAGCAACTCCTTCTGTTCACTCCTCTCCCCCCACCCCACGTAAAGTTCTGTCACATTCAAAATATTAATTGCATAAGGAATCAAAAGACTTTTATTCTAATCCCAATTCTAACACCAACTGGTTGTAGATAGAACCTCTGGCAAATCACCCTCCCTCAAGGGGCTTCAGTTCCTTCCAATAACAAGGGATTTGGAGCTGATGAGCTTTTCGGGTCACTTTCAGGGGGCCTAGTTCATTCTCTGTAGCCCGACCTTTCTGAACCTCAACCTTTTCATTAGCAAAAGGAGGGGATTGGGCTAAATGATCTCTAAAGTCCCTTCAAGTCCCATCCAGGCTATTTTTTAACCTCTGATATTCTTCTGCTGTGAAACAGGGATAATAATACCTGCCCCACCTACATCACAGAAATGCTGAGAGGATCAAATGAAGTAAAATAAGCCAGAAGCTTTGAAAAATCTAAAAACCCAATGAAAATGAAGGATGGAGCCACAATAAGTAGAGAAGGTTGAAGTTCCCCTTTCAAAGGCATCAACTTGTTTTTAAAACTATTTTTATATTTAATTTGATACTCACTACTTAATATTTTGATAACTGAATTTCAAACCAATATAATTGATTTTCTTTGTAACTCTAATCATATGTATTTTATTTCCTGCATTTAAAAATATTCTTCTGAGAAGGGCTTCATAGGCTTCACCAGATCTGCCAAAGGGCTACAGGACATAAAACAGATAGAGAAACCCTGCCCACAGTAAGGACTGCCTGAATATTATAGGCACTTACTGAATGTACCACTGTAAGGAAGAACTCATATGCAGAAGGGATACAAGATGTTTTTTCTTTGCTGTTCAGTCATTTTTCAGTCATTTCCAACTCTTTGTGACCCCATTTGGAGTTTTCTTGGTAAAGATACTGGAGTGATTTGCCATTTCCTTCACTAACTCATTTTACAGAGGAAGAAATTGAGGCAAACAGGCTTAAGGGACTTGCCTAGTGTCCCACAGCTATTAAGTATCTAAAGTCAGATTTGAACTCCAGAAGATAGGTCTTCCTGACTCTAGGCCAGGCACTCAACCCACTAAGCCACCTAGCTGCCTCCATACAAGATTATAGGATCACAGATAAAGATAATTCTGTTCATTTAATAGTAATAGCTAACATTCATGTAACACATTAAGGTTTGCAAAGTACTTTTACATATGTTAACTCATCTCATGTTATCTCACTACAACCTGGAGAACTAGGTGCAATTATTCATCTCCATTTTACAGATGAAGCAAGCTGTGACTTCGCTAGGATCACACGGCTAGGACTAAATATCTGAGGCAGGCTTCAAACTCAGATCATCCTGACTTCAGGTCCATTTACTATGGCACTTCGCTATAGAAATGTTTTTAGGACAAAATAGAAGGGTTTTATACAGTAGCAAGAAAGCTTTAGATCCCTTTGCTACCAGCAGGTCTTCTTTCCTATTACTCAGGGCCTTTTGTACTTCTTTGAAGGAAAGAGGAAGGGAGAGCAGGGAGAAAGAGAAGTATGTGAATTCTAAGACTTTAGGTACAAGATTCTCATGGTAAATTTTATGAGAAATTTTAAAAGCATAAAAACGTCAGAGATTGCCAAATCTCCGATTTTCAAAGGTTCTGTCCCCTATAACCTGTCCATAATTAAGTGGTAGCCTCTGGAGTAATCATCTCCACACTTCATATTCGAGTGCTTAGCATAGTACCTGGCACATAATGGGTGCTTAATAAACGTCTATTGATGGCTGACTATATGTAACAGGAGCTAATCTGTGCTCCGTGAATCACATTTCTTAATGTTTGTTGCTAGAAATTCCCAACAAAAACACTAGATTCCAAAACAAAAACCAAAAACCCCTCTGACCACTGGATTTTCCCCATGCATTTCCAAGCCTACCTTCCCATGTCTTCTAAAAGTCAGAGACCACATGGCCCCCTGAAATTCTGTTCAGTGAACAAACACTTCCACGAAAAAGATTTTTTGCATGAGGTTACTGTGACTATGCAGAGCGCAGGTGCATTTCCCCTGCCTACCCTACGGTAGTACCCAGAAGGCAAAGATACCATTTAAATGAGTAAGAAGTGTCTAGGAGTCAGAAAGAGAAAGAGGAACCGGCTTGCTGACCGAATTTATGAGAACGGTCGCCACAACTTTTGCACTTTTGCAGGTGCTGAAAGAAAGAGGTGCTCAGCTGGAAGAACTGAGTGGGTGAGACAAGGGTGGGAGGATCCAAGAAAGCCGAATAAATAGCTTGGTGAATGGGAGTAGGCGGTAACACCGAAGCTACAGAAACAAAAGCTCCTACCGAAAAAGGTCTCAATCCTACCCGACCCTGAAAGTGATTTGCTGAGATCTACCCCCTACGCTTTCATATGCAAATCAAGAGCTAAGAGAGGGCTGGGCTGGGCTGGGCTGAGCTTAGCTCGTTACTTGCTGCCCTCTGAATGCACTGAGCACACACCGCACGTCAGGAGAGAAAAGCTTTGCTATCCGATGCCGAAACTGGGGTGATGGATTGGAGAGAGAATTAAAGAGCAAATCTTAACTAAACCACAAGTCTTCTTTGGAGGCTGGACGAGCAGACACAGCTGAGAAGTTGTCCCGATGCAACATCTTCCAGAAAAAGTAAGTCGGAGGCTGGGTGACTTACGGTTTCAGGAGCCGATCATTTCTCAGTCCCTGAAGAGGGATTCTTTTTCCCCTCCGAGGAATCAAAAGAATGAACTTTGGGAGATACTATCTTTTTGCCATTCCCGTGCTGACCGTGGCCCTCTTCATCCTGCTGTACAACCATCAACTCTATCAATCAAAGAGTTATCAGCGGTTAAATGTGTCTAATGAGCGATCTCTATCCCAGTTCTGTAATACCGTCGTAGAAGGGAAGTCAACATTTGTGTGGGAGAAAGTATTAATGCCTTTATTTGGAAGAGTCTCTTGTAAGGAGTACTTGCTCCAAAGTCACTACATAACAGCTCCCCTGTCGAAAGAAGAAGCCCAGTTCCCTTTGGCTTATGTAATGGTCATTCATAAGGATTTTGAAACCTTTGAGAAGCTCTTCAGGGCGGTTTACATGCCCCAAAATGTTTACTGTGTTCACGTGGATGAGAAGACTACAGCTGAGTTTAAAGATGCTGTGGAGTGGTTGGTGGGCTGCTTCCCCAATGCTTTCCTTGCCTCCAAGTTGGAGCCTGTTGTCTATGGCGGAATATCCAGGCTCCAGGCTGACCTGAACTGCATGAAAGACCTTGTAGCCTCTGAGGTTCAGTGGAGGTACATTATTAACACTTGTGGGCAAGATTTCCCTCTGAAAACCAATAAGGAAATAATCCAGCATCTGAAAGGATTTAAAGGGAAAAATATCACCCCAGGAGTGCTGCCTCCTGCACATGCTATTGAAAGGACTAAATATGTCTTCAAAGAATATATTACCCCTCAAACCTCATATATGCAAAGAACCAGAATTTTAAAATCCTTGCCTCCCCATCAACTAGTAATTTACTTCGGCTCAGCTTATGTTGCCCTCACAAGGGAGTTTGTCAACTTTGTTTTCCAAGACCATCGGGCCATTGATTTACTCCTATGGTCTAAGGACACCTACAGCCCTGATGAACATTTCTGGGTGACACTCAATCGGATCTCTGGTGGGTGTGATTTGTTAATTCTGCATGCAGACCAGACAGATTTCTGTGTTGCTTTAGTCATCAGAATAATTTATGAATGAGCCTTAAAAAAAAAAAAGGAGGAAAAGTCTTTCGGTTCCCAAGACATCCTAAGCATGATTTTATATGTTCATATATGTATATTTATATGACTGGAGGTATATGATCAAGAGGTTTAAATATGACATATAACTGAAGGAACTAGAAGAAAAATCCTTAGAGAGATGTAATAAACTGTACAGGTCAAATTTAATGGTGATACTTTTCAAGGCATTTAGAGTTCCCAAAGTTACTTTCTTTTAATGAGATGTGATTATAAAGTAATAAGATTAACAGTTTCAGCAAATGTGAACTTAAAATTCCACCTGTGTGTTTGGTCAAATTGGGAAGCTCTGTACTTCTTCCAATATGTTGCTATTGCCCAGAAAAAAAATTTTTTTTTCAACCCTTTACAGTTGCTTTTATAAGCCTGGTTATCAGTCACACAAGAAAACCTTTTCCATTACTTTATAATCATAACATTCATTGTTTTTAAGGAACAGCAGGGCTTTTACCTTGGTTATTGTTGGGAAGGCCTCGTTTATTTAGTCATATTATTGATACTGCCATTAATCGAGGCCTTTTTGAAACTCTTCTTTTGGACTTGTCTTCAGAGACTGACATTTCTTTTGCCTATCTCCAAAAATATTGTTTCTGTCAGGATCTATGATTTCATGAATTTATAGGCTCAAGGTGTGCAGACTCCCTCTGCTGATCATAGAATCATAGATTTAGGGCTTGAAGGAATCTTAGAAGACAACCATCTAGTCCACGGGTGGGGAACCTGCCTCGAGGCCACATGTGGCCCTCTAGGTCCTCACGAATGGCCCCTTGATTGAATCCAAACTTCTCTGAACAAATGCCCTTAATAAAAGGATTTGTTTTGCAAAACTTGGACTCAGTCAAAAGGCCACTCCCTAGGACCTAGAAGGCCACATGTGGCCTTGAGGCCTTAGATTCTCCACCTCTGATCCACTTTATAGATGAGGAGTTGAGGCTTCCAGGTAAAGTGCCTGAGGTCTCATTGCTAGATGCAGATCTGATCTTTTTTCCTTTCTTAGCCACAATTTCTCTTCTGGAAAAATAGGTATAATAAATGGCACCTACTGGATTCCCTGAATTGTTTTAGGAATCAAATGAGCCAATAGATATGCAAAGTACTTTGTAAACGTTAAAGCCCTATATAAATGCTAGCTCTTGTTATCAGCAACACCACGGTTACTTTGTATTAAATTTTTCCCTGCCACACTGAAGAGTTTGAGTGACTTAGCCAAAGTCCAATGGTTGGTTCCTTTGTGTCTAAGAATTTGAACCCACATCTTCTGGCTCCAAAACCAGCCCTTTATCCACTCCACCCATTGCCTCTCTAAAAGTTCCTGGACAGTAAAAGCAACAAATTCTTATTTCAACACTTCTTCTTCCTCCATGATGAATCGGCTTCCAATGACTAATCTAAAGCCTTGTCTAATATCTACATCCTTCAATCTGAGTTAAGATGTGGAATATTTACTCCAATAATTTATTCAGATCATCACATTAAGCAGGTGAGGAAAGGGTGCTAAATATTTGAATTTAAAGACAAAAATGTACTTGATAGAATAAGAATAGTAGTTTGGAAACATTTACTTCTGGGCCGGCTCAAGATAACAAGAAAGAATAATTTTTTTTTGGTGAGGCAATTGGGGTTAAGTGACTTGGCCAGGGTCACACAGCTAGTAAGTTTCATGTGTCTGAGTCTGGATTTGAACTCAGGTCCTCCTGACCCCAAGGCCGGAGTTTTATCCACTGTGCCACCTAGCTGCCTCAGGAATAATTTTGTAAGAAGTTCTTTGCAGGCTCCTGTCTTCCTATTGTATTGAGCCTTCCCAGTTTCTTAAAACTGATTTGACCAAAGTCCCAAATAATTCCAGGCTTTCAAAGGCAGAAAACAGCCTTAAAGTCTTCCTTCTAAGCACTGATTATCTTTCCAAAACTCCCATGTATCCAATGAAAAGTCTTAGTGAGTTATAGGAATCATACTGCTGCTTTTGTGTTTGCACATAGTAAGCACTGAATAAATGTTTATTGATTGATTGGTAGATTGTCCCAGATTACCCCAGTGCAGATGTCTCTATCTCGGTGTGACTCTCCCTCTCCTTTCTCCTTCTTCCTTTCCCTCCCCTCCCCCCAAGTGTCTGTCTCTGTCCCCCCCTTTTCTCTCTTTCTAATACACACACACACACACACACACACACTCTCTCTCTCTCTCTCTCTCTCTCTCCCTCTCTCCCGGGCACACACATCTCTTTGTTTTAACCACAAGTCTTCCTGTTTTTGATGTAGTATCACAGGGACACTTGATTGTTATTTGAAACTTTGTTCCTTTCTTAAAGCAGACACAAAGTAGCACCATATCTGCCTGCCTTTAAAAACACAACATGCATGGTGTTTTATGGAGGGTGTCTGAATCTCACTTAGAAAAGAAGCTGACGGAGGTTAGTCTAAGCAGCCAGGGGCAGTGAAATTCGCGGCGTTGTAGGGAATTTGGTTTCGTAAGACGTCACTGTCAGCTGCTGCTCCCAACAAGGTTAGGAATCACTCCAAGGCTTCCTAGGTAGGAACTGATTCATAATTCATTTTTATGTATCGTATATGTAAAGCAATCTCTAGGTCGTATTCCTGGGAGAAGTGAAAGTGGATAAGAAATAAGGGGAGGGAAGTAGGGGGAGGGAGTTAGGCCCCACTCTCCCCTTCTTATCGGGAAAGACAGGTTAACTTTCTGAAGGTAATGAACGGTTTTTTGCCTTTCTATGTATTTCCAGCCTTTAGCTCTCTGCCTGTCAGCTTGTAAACACTGACTTGCTTGTTGATTGACTAATTGGATTGAATAGCTTGTGAGAGAAACAGCAGGTTTATATAGTATGTATGCTCAGGGATCATTGCCTTTGGTTGCCAAGCAAAGGGCTTTTTGGAGAGGTTTTATAAGATAATGCCAGGGAAGCCCGGGTTGCTGTGTGCTTCCTTCTGCAGATCTATCCTCTTCTCTTGTAAGTGGATTTGCGTTGCCTAGAGAAATGAGTGATCCCAGCGGGGGAGTGCTTAGGGAAGATAAGGAAACACTAAGCTAGTTCCAGGTACAAAAAAATAAGGCTGTAATTATTGTAAAAGGAAATAAAATGAAGTGCCCCTAGGAGATTATTTCTCCTACACGAGGATAGAATTGCCGATCACTACCAACACATTTACTACTGATTATATTTGGTTTCGGTTTTAGACCACGTTATTAAGCATTGTTTACTTAGTAGGTACATTAAGTGATACTCCTGGAGCAAAGTTTACTGTTAGAAACGTAACTTTTCTTCTGTATACAATGAAACTGGTTAAACATGGTTGGAACATATCACTTCCCCTTCCCTAAATTTAGCTTTCTCAAGCCTGAACAATTTTGAGGAAAGCTCTAGATCAGCCATGCTTTACTCACTCTTCCAACCTTTCCACCATGTCAGGTGACTTCTCCCTCTGACCCTGTGCCCCCTTCTCCTATTGGGGAATTCCTCTCAAAAAGTCCATTTTCAGGAAGGGTTCAGACCACTCATCCTTCATCCTCTCCCCAGGCAACCCCCACTTTTCAACTCCATCTAATGAACTACCTTTCCCCATTAGAAAGCAAGTTCCATGAATAAATTTAATCCAACTTTCTCATAAAAAGAGACATAAAAATAGGCCTTTAAATATTATTTACTCTCTCTCCCAACTCCACTTCCTGGCTCTATTGACTTCCTGGCTCTATTGACTTCCTTTCAAGATTCAGCTCAAAAGCTCACCTGCAGAAGACCTTTCCCAGTTTGTTTTCCACCCCCCTCCCCCACTGCTTGTTTCTTCCCTCTCAGATCACCTCCCATTTCAAAATGTATATATCTGGTATGTACCCAACTGTTTACATGGTCTCCACCCTTAGAAGACCTCCACCATGAAGACAGGTTTGTTCTTTGGGGTTTGCCTGTCTTTGTATCCTTGATTGCTTAGTACAGTGTCTGGCACATAGTAGGTGCTTAATCAATGCTTGTTCATTGATAATACATAACACATAGAGCATTTGAATATTTATGTACATTAACACATTTGTTCTTAGATGACATGTGTTAGAGGGAGAAAGTCCTGATTCTGGAGGCAAAGGTTTCAAATCATGCCTCTGATGTTTATATCTGTGACCATGGGCAAAACATTTAACCTCCTTGGGTTTTATTTTTCTCCTTTGTAAAATTAAAGAATTGAACTGGATAGCTAGCCTATGTCTGTATATAAGTCTCATGTGATAAAAATAGCATTCTACCAAGCTATGCTTTTATTTTTTTAAATAAATAACATGAAGAAGGCTAAGAAACTGCTAAACTTAGCTTTAATGAAGCCAATTATTCATATTTTGAAGGGCATATGAATTCAGGACCAAATGAGTCTATTCATTGTTTTTGGCTTAGGCAGTGGGGTTAAGTGAAGCTTGTCCAGGGTCACAAAGCTAGTAACTGTCAAGTGTCTGGGGTCGGATTTGAACTCAGGTCCTCCTGACTCCAGGGCTGGGTAGCTATCCACTGTACCACCTAGCTGCCTCTGATTCCATTCATTTCAACAAACACTCCTAAAGCAAGTCCATAGACAAGCTCCTAGGAAGACAAAGAGCACCCCTTGGTTATAATAACTGACATTTATGTGGGCATCCAAAGTACAACACACGTTGTCTAATGAGATAACGAATGAATCTTATAATAACCCAGGTGGTGTTGTTATCAACATCTTGTCTATAAGATAAGCCCCAGAAGTGAAGTGAGTAGTCACAATACTAGGAAGTGTCAGGCAAGTTTCTCATTCTGGTATACTGCCTTCCAACTCAAACTTCCAGGGTAAAGAGATGGGAAAGAGTGCTAGCCTCTGTGGATCGTTCATGATTTATAAGTGTTTACAACACT